AAGTGAATTGAATCCCCTCAGTGGTGCTTGTTCCTAATTTACCAAGAGGTGCCTCTCCACATGTTGTGTGTGCATGAACACACACACACGCACACACACACACACAGACACACACACACACACACTGTGTGAGTGCACAGGAGAGATACTATGCCTGGAGAGAGACTGGAGAACAGGACTTCACTGCAAGGCTGGTGCACGGTCTCAGAAGGAAATGGTTTCTAAGACTATCGGAAAAGTACAGGTTCTCCTTTAAATTTTTAACAAAATTTGCTTCATCAAAAGAAAGAAACACTTTGCTATGGAATATCCAGACTTGAAGTATGTTATGGGGGTCTCAGGAAGCCGGAAAAGACCATGAGAGTATAGGATAGGCTTGGAGGGCACCCACTTGCTTCTTGCATAGACATTCATTATCGGGATTTATGACTATGGCAAGCCATTGGATTAGGAACCAGCAGCCAGAGGCCGCTGCTTACATACCCAGGTAGGGGAGAGTCATCAGCATCATGCCTATTAATGCATTTAGAAGGAACAAGTTTATTGTTATGTGGGCAACTGAAGGGAGGGAAGCTTAAAAATTTTAAATCCATGTACCTCTATCAATGGTTTGACAGTTTTCTCTAGCATTGTTTACCTAGTTGAGTATGGGTATGGGGGTCAAATTGCTAGAGACAAATAAAGGCAGGAGGGAACTGTTGAATACTGAGAAGGGCATCTATGAATTGGAAGTCATGGGAGGCCATAGGATTTTTTTGTTGTTGTCACTAGTGATAGAGATTGAGTCTTGTTTTGCTGGCTAGGCTGGTCTCAAGTCTCAAACTCCTGGCTTCAAGCGATCCTCACACCTTGGCTCCCAAGTGCTGCAATTACAGGTGTGAACCACTGTATCAGGCAAATTTTTTAAAGTTTTATTTTATAATTAGAGGAAGTGTATTCTTTGGTCAAAGGTGCATGAGATTCACTCCCTTGCTAGAATCTCCAAACAAGCTTTCAAGTCATAGAATTTTTATAGTGAGAGCATTTGAACATTTTTTTTTTACTAGTAGACAAATTTATTCCAAAAATATGCAAAGTATATATGACAAAACATTAACATCTGTGATTGGAGTATGGGATCTTTTTAATTTCAGAAGCTGGAAGTAATATAGATTTTGTAGTTGATAAGGCTGGACTAAGACCAGGGGCATCCGTGGTTCAGGGAGAAGGTCATTGGCAGTAAGGACATCAAAGAACCAACAATCCAGGGTTGGGATGGGTCATCCACACATGTATGGAAGGCACCGAGAAAGAAGACGGTCATTAAGGTGCATATGAAGATGACTCAGACCTAAAAACTCACATAATAATAGCTAATGTTTGTATAATGCTTACCAAGTACCAGGCACTGCTGTATGAATTTTATATATTATCGTTACATTTATTTTATAGATGAGAACAGTGAGGCTTACGAAGGTTGGTAAACTTTCCCAAGCACCATTGCTAGTGAGTGTCAAGTCTGTTAGTTCTCAGACCCAGGCAGCCTGGTCCCAGAGCCTGCATTCTTTACCACTTTTCTCTCAGCATCTGTGAATGCTACAATTATGACCAGGGGATAGAGGGCAGAGGGTACCGTGTGGACTTTAAAGAAGTGGGAGTTTTTGCAAGGGGAAGAGGAAGAAGTAGTCTTGAACAGCTCGAAGTCTTGGCCTTGAGGCATGAGGAGTGAATGACCAATAGTCTCCACTAAAGGGAGCTGCAGATTCTAGACAGCAGTTTCCTCTACGGGAACACAGTTTCCTCTTAGGGCAAGGAGGTGGAAGGACCATTCTAAGAAAAAGTGGAGAATACTGAAATACCCCAAGGCCAAACAGGAAAGTGGATGGAGTGGCAGGGTGAGGGAGGTGCTCAGACGCACGGATTGTGTGAGGGTGAGGATACTGGTGACGATGGCCAGGTGGGCTTGGACTTTTGGCAGTGACATTGGTAAACACCTATGGAGGCCCTGAGGGGTTTGTTGCTCTATGTCTATTGAGGCAGCAACTGGTGGGCGTATCCTTCCTAGAGCTGCAGTAACAAAGTACCACAAACTGAGTAGCTTAAACACAGTAACATTGTCTCACAGTTCTGGAGGTTGGAATTCCAAGACCAAGGTGTTAGCAGGGTTCGTTCCTCCTGAGGGATGTTCCAAGCCTCTCCTTTGGCTTCTTGGAGGTTTGCTGGTGAATACTGGCATTCCTTAGTGTGTAGAAGCCTCACCCTGTGTGTGTGTCTGTGTACAAGTTTACCCTTTTTATATGGACACCAGTCATATTGGATTAGGGCCTACCCTAAGGACCTCATCTTAACAACTAATTACATCTGTAAGAACCCTATTTCCAAATAAGGTTGTGGTCTGAGGTCCCGTGGGATAGAACCTCAACATTTGAATTTTAGGGGGATAATCCAGACTATAACCATGGCCTTAGGAGCACTGCTCACTCCTGGCCCCTGGCATTAGATTGGGAATCTGTTCTGAGCACGTGAGCATTCAAGGCTCTTTCTGGGTATAGCAGGGGACATACAGATGAATGAAACAAAACCCCTGGCTTCCAGGGCCTGAACTTGGGGGAGGTAGAGGGAGTGGGTAAAGTATGACAAACTCAGATGCCTAAAACACAAGTCAGATCTAATTAATGCTGTAAGTGAGATACAACCAGATTATTACATAAATGAAAAGATTAATGAGAAGGGGAGTAGGGCTTCGGACCTAATTTGGTTTATTTTTAAATTTTATAGGTAAGGAATCTTAGTTCTAGAAATGTTAAATGGCCTGCTGCAGGTCTGCCAACTGGAAATCTGCTCTTTCAGTCACACCGTGTGTATAAACATACGTGCAGCCCCATTTTCTATTATGTCAAACATCTTTGAGATGTATTATTTTAAAAATTATATAATTGGTCAGGAAAATGATACCTAAGCTTATGAACATGAAGCAGCAAATAATGTTTAAAAGAAGTCAGAGACATTTCTATCGATGACAGTGACTGAGCTGTTGACTAAATATTGACTATAAATCTTCAACCACCCACTATCCACAGGTGCCAATCTGCCTACAGATATACACATTTTATATAATATGTATTTGATGCCAAAATACACTGTAAGTTTCTTGCATCCTTAAAAAATAAAACCATTAGCCACCTTGAACCATGGCAGTCTTCTTCTTCAGTATCCTTCACCTTCTTAAGTGAGGTCAGAGTACCCTACCTGGGAGAAACAGCTGGGCTCTATGCAAAGGGAGAGCCCAGACAGATAAACTTATCTGCATTCACAGATAAACATTGGCAATTTCAATTTTTAAAAATACAATGTCGAGCTGGGAGCCGCTTGATAACTGTGGGAAGCAAAATGTCTGTCCTGAGTTTCCTAGGTGGTTATGGGTGGATCTGGTGGGCATTGTGAAGTATGGTATAGAAAGTCTAGGAAGAGAGAAAGAATTTGAAGGGGTAATTGATCTTCCCCTTTTTGGTTTATAGTGAAATTTTCTCAAGAAATTGAAACTATCTTGGGAACATGGCAAGAGAGAGTAAGAAGAAGAAATCTGGGATCAATTCAACATTGACTTTCTGATTTACAGTATGCAAATGGAAAATAAAACTGGTTTCATTATGGACAACATTTAGGAAATAAGGCCACTGGGTTCAATAGGGACTGGTTCTTGGCATCAGAATCCCAGAGTTTGCTGTAAATTTGACCTGGGCAGTGATCCTGCCACTGGGGATGAGACTTCATTCTTGTTTCTGGAAGTGAGGTGCAACAGCCAGGCAGTATACCATTGAGTCTCTGATTTGGGAAGGACAAATATAGTAGAAAAAAAGTACTTTACTTCTTTCATGGCTCAAAATTTGTGATGAATTATGTACGTTTTTACCATAATGATTAAAAGTTCTTATAGTTCCTTATCTATTTCTTATCAGTTGTCAAGTAAGAGTAGCAAATCTTTCTCTTGCCTTTCCTTTCACCCTCCTTTCCTTTTTTCACTCAAGATGCTTTGGTGTCTGATCATGTCAGTCTCTAAAATGTGTTTAGTATGTAGCAGAGATATAATGAGGAAAAGAGACATGGTCCTTGTCTTCAGCATGGAGATGGGGATGGATAGTCATGATATAATCCAGAAATACATAATTCCAAGCTGTAACAAGGTGACTGGGGAAGAAGGAAGAGAGCTATAAGAGTACTGCCTGTCCTCTATATCCACGGGGACTGGTTCCAGGACTTCCTGTGGATACTTCAGTTCCTCAAGTCCTTTACAGGCAGCCCTCTGTACCCACAGCTTCTGCATCTGCAGATACAGAGGGCTGACTGTTTACAAAACGGGAGCTGATTTAGAGTGGGTAAACAGGGAAGACTTCCCTGAGGACATGGCATCTGTGCTGAGGGCATAAAGGTGTAGAGGCATTAATAGGCACAGTGCGGAGATGGGAGGTGGAGTGTGAGCAAGAAGATTCCAGACAGAACGAGTGCAAAAAAGCAAAGTTGGAGTCGGTGGGGGCAGGAACAGAAGAGAAATAAGGTCAGTAGAACAAGTGGGAGAGAAAGAGAAGAGAGGGGGCCAGAGGCGTGAGCAGATCAGGCAAGGGCAGTAACCTTTCTGAGCAATGGCAAGCTATTACAGTTTTTAAGTGAGGAGCAAAAGATTCAGATGCTAGCATTATAGGACTCTCCCCACAGCTGCAGTGTGGAAGATCAACAGGAGGAAGTCATGAGAGGAGGCTGGGGGACCAGGAGAGAGAGGATGTTGCAGAGTGATGATGGAGATGGAGGAAGTCAATTGAGTCAAGAAACATTGAGGAGGTAGAATACTTCGAGTCTGCTTTTTCCACTTGACATATTGTGGATGCCTTTTTTTATAATTTTTTAAATTTTTGCCTGTTTTCATTTCTTATTGGATTGTTATGTTTTGTTTTTCATTTGTATTTCTTTTTTTTTTAAACTTTATTTTAAGTTCCAGGATACATGTGTAGGACATGCTGGTTTGTAAAAATATGGAACGCTTCACGAATTTGGTCATTCTTGTGCAGGGGTTATGATAATAATATTCTCTGTTATCGTTCCAATTTTAGTATATGTGCTGCTGAAGCAAGCACTGTGGGTCTCTTTCTACATTTCAAAAATGTTGGTCTCCATAAGAAGGTCTCTGTGATAGTTCCTTGTATAGATCAATTATTACATATTCAATAATCTCCTACTGATGGACTTTTTTTTTGATTATGAATGACTCTCCAAATTGTATTATATATTAATTGTCTGACTGTTCCCTTAATGGATATTTTATATTAGTTGCCAGATCAACTCTCAGAGCATACTAGTTTATTCTCTCACTAATAGTGTGTAAGACATCCATTTTCTTTCCCCTTTCAAACCTCAGTGTATTGTCAACCTTTTTAATTTTAGCTGGCTAATAGATAAACGAAATTCAGTGTTTTAACTTGCATTCTGATTATTCATGAGACTGGCCATCTTTTCCTGTGTTTACTGTCTGTTTATATTTATTATTTTGTAGATTATTTATTTTGCCTATTTATATCTCATGATATTTTTTCCCTGTTGATGAAACATAACTGTTTTGTAACCCTTTGTCATATGTATGTAGCAAAAATGTTTGCCAGGTCTTTGTTCGCCTTTTAATCTTGTTGACAGGGTTTCCTATTCTACTTTGTTCTGTTTTTACCATATATATTATTTCACTTTTAAGTAGTGTCTGTCATCTGTCAGTGGATTTTCTTTATGGTTCTAGTTTTGTTGATATATTAAAAAAGCCTTCCTCACTTCAAGGCTAGAAAAAGATTTTTCTAATGCTTTATTTTCTATTATGAATTCAGTATGAGGAGTAAGGGAGGGATACTTACTTATTTCATAAGTACCTAGGCAGTTGTCCTAATACCTTTTCTTGAATAACCACTATTTCTTTCCCTGATTAGAAATGCTATTTTTTTTATTTACCAAATCCCCAAATACATTTGAGCTCAATTCTGAACTCTGTATTCTGTTTTTGATCTCTCATCCTATGCCAGATTCACGCTGTTTTAATTACTGTTATTTTGTAACACAGTTTTTATATCTGGTAGTGCAATTTTACCCACATTATTCTTCTTTGTCAAGTCTTTCTGGTTATTTTTAAATATTTATTCTTCAAAATGGATTTTAGAATTATTTTCCAAACTTATACAAAAATATCCTGTCGCAAGTTTGGTAGGACTTAAATTACATTTATAGATTTGCTTTAGCATTCTGGGTCATTACACATTTTTTCAAATAGTGGCTGAAGTAATTTAATTTGCAATCAAGTAAAATTTGGTGTATATTGTGACCCATCTTTCTGAAATATATGAGAAATTGGCAAGCTGTATATTATGTAATTCACTAAATCACTATATGGTTCTAGATGATTTATTCATTCCACAATTTATTCATTCCATGAGCTAAGCCTATGGTGGGTGCTGTTTCAAGTGTTGGGATACATGGTGAATGGGCAGGATCCCTGTTCTCATATTCTGGAGGGGAGAAGCAGTGGAGCTTGGCTTTGTCCACAGACCGGGCGGCGTGAGGGTGGGAAGGCCACAGTGATGGCAGACAAGTCTTTCCAAAAATATTTGCTTTGAAAGGAAGAAAGGAAATTGAGTGGCAGTTGGTCATGGAGGCAAGAAAGGTTTTTTGTTTTATTTTTAAAATGACAGTCACTGGAGCGTATTTATGTGCCACAAAATAATCACCAGAAAGAGAGAAAATAAGTGTACAGAAGAAAAAGGAGATGCGTGTAGCATCTAGCTCCTTGAAGGCGAAAGTAGATGGAATATACTCCTCAAGTGATCTGTTAGCTTTTGATACAAGGAGCAAATTAATAATAGAAAATTCAGAAAGAGTGGGCCCAGATACAAGCAGATTAGTGTTTATTTGACTGCAGAAACCAAAGAGGTGTTTTTGCATGGGCAATAACCACATCTATACTACTATGCTTATTATTCATCAATTTCAGCAAAAATTGGGATGTTTTATTCCAGTGTTAGGTTTTAATGTCATAACTTCTTTGTTGGAAACTGAATTTTAAAGCGCTGAAAGCAGTGCTTAGAACAATGTCTGGGACACATATGACACTTAATATTTATTGAATAAGTACACACATCAGTTTTATATTGCTGAATGGAATTTTCATACTGTCTAGGCGATGTCATATCTTCTATACAAAACTGTCCTGATTCTTAGTACTTCCATGTCAGTATGTAATATTTGTGTTACTTTAACCATACGGTATAGTAGAAAAGGCATTGGACTTGGAAACAGAAAGCTTGGATTCAATCATCTGCCCCACCAGTTTATAACTACTTAAAGTTGGGGAAGTTATTTAGCTTCTCTGGGTTTTACTTTTCTCGTTGTAAAATGAGCCAATTGGGATAAATCAGTTGTTTTCAATCCTTTTAAACTGTTACACATTTTCTTCATATGAAAGGTTTTCTGGATCCGCCTATGTAAAGCAGGTAACTGAGGACTCCTCAGACGAAAGTAGGGATGTGAGGGGGGAGCCCCACCCATCCTGCAGCAGCCTCCTTGAGCCTCTCTTGACCCTACCTTCATCCTGCTGAGAACGGAGCTTCTCAGAGCAAAATGTACAAACCTCGTAAGATGATCTCTAAGGTCTTTAAGTATTGCATAAACTATGGCACATGCTATCTGAGGTGATTTTAATGGTCCTGTGAAGTAAGGAATGCATGGTACTATTATGTCTGTTTCACAGATGGGAAAAGAAGGTTCAGAGTGTATCATTTGCTGTAATTTCTTGCCTGCTAGTTGGAGGAGCAGAGATGAGAGCCCAGTCCTCTGTCTCTTGTTTAGGCAGTCCTTTTGTTGCCATCAAATGATTTCCCTCACCTGGCTATCTGTTGATTCAGTGAAGATTCTGGCTAAAATATCTGAAATAATTTCTAACTTGTATTACTGTTGCCATCCACATGCATAAAACCACTTAAAAATGTTTGCCTAAATGTTTTCCACACCTGAGTTAGCTAAGTTACAGAAACTTTAATCAAATTGCAAAAAAGAATGAGCTGTGAGGAATCATTATAATTTCTCAACAGAAATCTCTAAAATGCAAATCAAATGAATTGGCTGAACACTTAAATCCATTTAATTTTGAAATTAGTTTCATTTTTGAAATAATCTTCAGATTGAGACAGATGAGGCATGCAGTCCTACTTATTGTTAACCATGGTAAAATAAGAAATGAGTTTTAACCCAAATGCGTACTGAGAAATTAAAAGCTAAGCAAGACTAAACATTGGGTTGAAAGGGGTTGACGATTAGTGTGGCCACATCAGATAAGGGCTGTCACTCCAGATTAACTGCCCTTCCCCTAGTATGTTCTCTACTCTCATGGTTGAGTTTCTACATGCCGATCTTTCTCTTGGAATGCTCTTCTTGGCCAGATAAAAATATTACTCATCCATCCAAGCTCATTTCATAAACTGCTTCCCCTGTTTAGCTCACTTATCCTCATGGCGCCTCCTCCTTCCTGGACAGAATTAATCTTCTGCGTCCCCTGTGAACTCCCTTAGAACTTTGCACTGTAGGGGTAGCACTCTTCATACTGCCATATAACTAACTGCAAAATCTGCTCTCCTTGCCAGGTTTTAATTTCTGCAAGGGCAGAGAACATTAAACATTGTAAAGGGTTTTCCCCTGCTATAAAAGTAACGTACACTCAGTGAGACAAAAGTTGGGAAAATGCAACAGAATTTAAAATGAACAAGAATCATTTCACCTATGCATTGCCCCTATACAATCAGCGCTTAGCATCTGAAATAATTCATCTAATGTTTCCTCCACCATGGACAAGCACTGAGTTTAATTGGGTAGGCATTGTTGATTTCGAAGTGCTAGAAGACTATAAATCTCTCTCTGTCGGCCTCTTGATGTACAGTGTAGGTGGCTGGCAGACATATAATTATGTACACACACATAATTCTGTCGATACTTAGAATAAAGAAGGGGTTTGCTCAAAGTATTGGACAAGCTTGTTTGGAAAGTATTTCATGAAGGCACTTGACTCTAGAAATCGCATGCGTCTTTATCACAGAATTTAGCAGACTTTAATGAATTCCAATTCTTTTCTCGAGTGAGAACTGGTTATGTATTGAATTGAGCAAACTGACACATATCCCAAGTGGTGAAAACATGCTCCTGTAGGTTCTCACAGTTAATAGTCTGAGGGTAATTGGGAACGAGTTCCATGTTGCATTGACAGATTTGTCATTGTACTGAAGAACATGTTGCTGCAACCTTGAGTTCAGACCCTGGCAGCTGTCTACCTCTGGCTTCCTACTCTTCCGTTCTCTACTCTTTTGGTAGGATGGACAGTCCGTTCTGTGGTAAGAAAGCCAGGCTCTAGGACTGCAGTCTGAGAGGCATGCTTGCCATCAGGACCACACTGTTGGTCACTGGTGTTCACACTAATGAACATCAACAATGACATGGAAACTGTTTTGTTTGTGAAGGCTGAATAGAAGTATAGATGAAAACAGAAAACTAATACTGGAGTTCCTGGAGGACAAAGATTGAGATAGTATACAATTATTCACCCATAGGATACTGTTAGCTCAGGCACTTTTGTTTTTATAGCTTTTTTTTTTAAGTATGAATTATAAAAGCTCCTTGTAGAAACTTTGTAAAATGTAAAAATGGATAAAAATGTAAATAAAAATCAACTATATACCTGCTACACAGAAATACTCACAACATTTTCATATATTTTATTTTCAATCTTTTTCTCTTAATATACGGATACATGAGATCATATTGTATATAAATATTCTATCCTTTTTTCATTTAGTTTTTGGTATTTACATTTTGAGATAGATCATTTTTAAGTAAGTAAATATTCAAACACTTTAAAAGCTTAACATTCTGTCAAAAGGATGAAATAAAATTAATTTAACCATTCTTCTATTGTTCAATAGTTAGGCTGGTTTCATTCTTTTCAATGCTAGATATAAAATGTCAAATAATATATTTCTATATAAATTATTGTCCAAATTTAAATTATTTCCTTAGAGAAAATATGTATTATAGAAATTATTATACCAAAGGGTGTCTT